GCAACAAAAACACCCAAAAAAAATTCGCGTTTTTTTTTGTTTTTTTTTTTTTTTTTTTTTTTTGTTATGTTGAAAAAAATTGGCACTTCGGTTATATTATCTTTTTCTCTCGACGATATTTATTTATGTCGTAGTATACATAGAATTACAGCTTAGAAAGAAAAAAGAAAAGAACTAAAAAATGGAACGACGAGTTTAATAGATAGACCAGTATAAAGAAAATCCTATTTTTACTCATTTAGTATGTTTTCCGATGAACAATAATGATGATGATGAGATGGAAACAGCCATAGAGCAAAAAAAGATAATTTAGAATGAAATAAAAGCGAGAAACCTAAATTTTAGAAGGGAAAAAAGTAAAAAAGATCTGTAATAGTAGTGAATAACGAATAATTCAACGGTCATATATTCTAACTTAAGATAGAGAACAATTCCCATAATTAATCCAACAAGTTTTTGTCAAACAACTTGAATAATAAATATCGTTAAGGATTCTCGATCAAAACCATGCAAAAACAACCAGTCACATCTATACTTTTTTTCCAAAAGAGTTTTCCAAAAAAAAAATGTGTGACAAAGTCTTATTTAGAAAAAATTATCCTTTCCAGATCAAGTACTCTTCAAACTGTTTCTCTGTGATTTGTTGTACCACTTCAAGTCTCCCGATAAGAGAGTGGAAAAAGGAAAAGTGCCATTAGCTCCGTTTTAATGAAACTAGTACAAAAAATATCACAAAAATTTGCTAACAGCTCTTGCTCTCTTTCCCTCTCTCTGCCTAATGTCAACAGCCATTTTGTTACACACATTTGCTTCAAAAAGACGATTAGAGAAACTAACTTCTATTTTTCTTAGCATATTTTTTGTTCTAAGTCTTTTTTTTGTTATAGCTAGAAATATTATCAATAATTTCGATATGACCTTCAAAGAATTGACAAACAATAGAGCTAAGATTTGAGGTGGTAAACGTTACTACTTAAAAATATAAATATTAACGATAGAGACAGGATCGACTAAAAAGAAAATTTATTTAGTTTTACAATATCCTGTTTAGGAATTTCTTTTTAAATAAGCTAGGCTAAAATATGTCTGTCTTCACATTCTATCCAGATCGAACAAATGGCGTTCTTTAATGAAAAAAAGAAATTACTCATTTTTTTCTTGTCTATATATTCATCAATATTATTTGTATCTCTCATAGATCAAATAGAATTCACACGGAGTATTTTTTTGTTTTGTACTTACGCTTTTTTTTTCTTCTGTATCCCTTACAGTTTAAAAAGAGAAGCAACAGTCAGCAAAAATTCTGAATATATATGGGAAAAAAAGTTTTTTATCATTTTCTTTCTATCTCACTATTTATTCGAAGATGGATTTATAGAAAACATTAATGCTAAAAATGATAATTTTTTTTCTTCGATTTCCCGTATATATATATATATATATATTCTTTGTTCATCTAATGTGTGTCTGTATGTAGACTAGGATTTTAGATGATTAGATTGGTGGTAATGGTACTAGGAAGGAGAAAGAAAATCAATTCCGGTTTTCTCTCCTCCTTCTTTAATCGGATGAGTTGAAATGTTAAGATGTGTGTGTGTGTGTGAATATATCGTAATAATATGCAAATCAGTTCGATATGTATGTAGATGAAATGGAATAAATCGAATACTTTAATCAGTCAGGACGTTTTCCGAATTGAAAAATACAAAGATCATTTATGTTGATGACTCAATTCTTAAATAACTATAGAGAAAAAAGAAAAAAGATCACAAAGTGATCCACACATTCCTCTTTAGATGTGTTTACAAATTTTAATTGGGTATTTGAGTGTTTCCTATAACAACGTGACTCTTTCAGAATAATGATTGTACAATCATAAGGAATTATGTTATTCGACCAAAATGACAAATCGATAGTTATAATTGCCACTTTTTTACGATTAGAGATTTTTATTACTGATTTTTGCTGAAACCAAAATCTTTCCATGAATAATGACCATAGGCTATTGTAAAATACACTATTATCACCAACTTTTATTTTTTAAAGAAAGAAGAAGAATAACAAAAAAATCTATAAGATAAACTAAAAAGGCAACAACAGTAAGTCATAATTGAATAATATTTTAAGTTGTTATAACAATCTGGAATATGTAAGAAGCGAGATGATAAAAACACACGGTTAACAATAATAAAAATGATGGAAACATCTTAGAGATAGAAAAAAGAAAGTGGATAATTTTTATCAATCCTTAACTTTAGAAAGGTTTTATTATCTCCGTTTGTTTTTTACAATTCAAACTGTAATTTGCATTCCGTTTAAACATTATTTTTTCTAAAAAACTCTTCGATTGCTTTTGAATCACGTTTTAATACTTCGGAACGCATATGAATTGTTTCAACAACTTTGTTTATTGGTCGTGTGACAATCGGTGTATTGGCATTATCAAAAAATGTTTTTATGTCATTTGAAACTTCTTCATCGGCAAAATCGGATAAACCGTACTAATAATTAGAAAATAAAAGTAATACTTTCATTTAATGAAACAAAGTTTACTTACTTCAACAAAATAAACCAGATAACTGCTTTTTTCACCAAAACGTTCGGCTAATTTGGTCCAATTTCCTTTTAAAAATTTCCAAACAATATCGCGACCAATTTTACTCGATACACAACCAACTAAACCCGCTATAGAATCTTGCATTCGTACATTGTCCTAAAAAACAAATAAGAATGAACGAAATTCAAAAAAAAGACAAAGAAGAACAGTAATGGTCGAACCCCTTCAAACACAAATTGAAGTGTTTTTTGAATCAACTCCGGGTTTCTTGTTTGACCCAGCGAACGTAATAAACGAGATTGTTCTTCCATCATATCAGCAGTTTTATAAAGCTAAAAATTTAAACAAATTTCTCAGACCCTCTTCAGTATATTTTAATATTTATTGCTACTTTTTTCAATTCTTCTTGTGTTGATTCATCACCGTATAAAGATACAAGAGCATAGACGGGCTTACGAATATTTGGATCGATTAAATCACCAGCAAGGTGTTGTTTAAAACGACGTTTAGCTTCATCAATAACAGCTTGATCACCACATTTTCCAACAATGCCAATTATAAGTGGACGAAGCATTGCCAATAATGCACTTTCATCTGGTCTCACATCCCATCCAAGTTTTTGTTGAATTGTTGAGAATATATCACGACAATATTTTTTCATTTCTTCAAAATAATTTGTATATTGTAAGAGTGTTGATAAATCCTCGATATTGGATGCTATTGATTTCCATACCTGAACAATTAGCATAGAACAAAATGACATATTAATAGAGTGAGGAGGACAGAAAACAATATTTACTGTAAAATTATCTTCGTTCTTGTATGCTCGTAACAATTTTAAGTAATCAACAAATGATTGATGTCCTGCATTGCACAATGCAGCAACATCATTCTGGACCATTAAACGATCTTGTGGACTCAAAATCTTTGATGAAATTGGTTCATTTAATCTTTCTAATGTTTTTGATTCATATTTCACACGATATAACCCGATACTATATTGGTTTAACTTAATCCAGTCATTTTCATTAACATTATCCAATGTTATCGTTATTTCGCGTTCATCCATCAAAACGTTTTGTGCTACCGTTTTTGGTTGTGATTTTGTGACGACAGTTATGGGTACTTTCCACTGAAGATTTTCATCATCATTACTACCATCACAAATAAAACGTTGTTGTGTCAATTTTAATACACGTTGTTTATTTAATTGTTGTTCATGAACGGTTATCAATGGATAACCCATCTGCAATGTCCATGATGACATGACTTCATCTACGGGTTTATTCGATGCTTTAGCCAAATGAGACCAGAGATTTTTAGTAATGGTATTTTTATAACTGTATTCTTTTAAATAGTTATGTAAACCTTTTCGAAATGCATCATCGCCAATATAATCGTGTAACATTCGAATAACAGATGAACCTTTTAAGTATGATATGGCATCAAATATTTCATCGATTTCAGCTGGATGACCGATTGGTACTTCGATAGGATGCGATGATTTCAAAGCATCCGGCACAAGAAAAGCTATAAAAAAAGTCACAAAGTTTTTATATTATTCAAAAGCTCTATCTCTTTTCGGCATATAAAATATTGTTTCTTACATGCAAATGTGTCGGCGATAAACTGTGTCCAAATATCAAATTCGGGAAAACATTTATCAACAGCGAGATATTCAATCCATGTGGCAAATCCTTCGTTTAACCTTAGAATAAAAGAAAGATAAATTTACTCGAAAATTCACTTTAGAGCGTCAATGTTTACCAAAGATCTGTCCACCAATCCATTGTTACTAAATTACCGAACCATTGATGAGCAAGTTCATGTGCGACAACAATTGCAACTCGTTGACGTTGATCCATCGAGGAAAATTTTGGATCGATTAATAATGCTGTTTCTCGATAAGTAATTAAACCCCAATTCTCCATTGCACCTTAAAGAACAAGAAAGAAAGTTATTACAAAATTCTGTCCAAAATAACTAACCATCAAAAGCCAGTAAATAGAAATAAAACGTTAAAAAAACCTTCAAAGCTAAGTGCAGAGAGAGATATTGTTTGCATGTGGTCATATTGAACGCAGACAAGTACACACAATTTTATTTTCTTACCCATTGCAAAGTCGGGAATAGCGATCATATCGGCTTTAGCAATTGGATATTTTATTCCAAAATAGTCAGCATAAAATGGCAAAACTTTTGCTGCAACCTAAATAGAAAATCATAATTTTCAAGCTAGTTGTATTTAACTCATAACTTCTATGTCAAAGTTTCAAGATCTAGCTTGATCTTTTAGATACGATGTACCAGGCCTTGGGATCTGACCTCAAACGTCGCTTATTTCGATGTTCAAAACTCCAAACTACACCGAGCTTTTATGTCAGGCTTGACTAGTCTTCTTAATAGCCAAGACTTAACAGGCCTGGCTGTATTTTATTGAATTCTATCAATTCTAGTACTAGTTTCAAATAGAGCAGAGGAGCTTGGAGATTTAAACATCGAAATAAGCGACCTTTGAGATCATATCTCAAGGTTCAGTACATCTCCAACCGTAATTGTATGTCAATATCAAAGATAGCTAGAATTCATTAACAACTTCATTATACAGATATTTGTTAACTTCTTACCTCTAATGCGAATCTACCGTGTTCTTTTTTTCCCACGGGGGTGTACGCTTTTATACTAACTCCATTTGAATCTTTTGTTTCAACGTAATCATATTCTCCCACAACAAATGCCACAAGATATGTTGACATAACTGGTGTACGCTCAAATTTTGTTACTGTCCATGATTTATCATTTTTAAATTCAGATTCTGATTTAACTGGCTAAAAAATGAAGCACAAACAATATGAGAGAAATGTCCAAAATCCATTTATGCACAGTTTACCATATTGGATATAGCCAAAAGTTGTTTTGGTGTAATCATTGTGACATCGAATGTAGCTTTGAAATTTGGTTCATCCCAGCATGGAAACGCTCGACGACAATCTGATGGCTAGAAATAGCAAACAGACTTTGAAGTTATAATTAAAACGTGTGGGTAATTCACACACCTCAAATTGTGTACTTGCAGCATATCGCGTTTCACCTGAAGGTGTTATGTATTTACAACGATAGAAGCCTTTCATTTTATTGTTTACTTCACCGATGAATTTCAAACTCAATTGGTAATCACCCTTCTAAATATATCAGCAAGAAAATTAACAGATTTTAGATTGACTATTGATGAAAATACATACTTCGAGTTTATTTGAAAAATTAACTTTAATTCGTTCTCCTTCTGTATCCATTTGAACGGAACCATCTTGAGATGCTATAAATAAGCAAATAATCGAGTAAATATAATCGCTCAATAGAGAAGAATAATAGCTAAGGTAATATGGGACTACTTGTTGAGTCAGAACATCCTCATTGGTTTCTTATCGTCCAGAAAACGTGGAGAGAGTACTAGAGCTTTGTTGATATACTTGAATCAGCAGATTGAACTTGAGCTTTTTGAATTTCTAAGTCAACAGCATATAGTTCCACGGTACTCGTTGGTTCTTTTATCTAAATAGATGACGAAAAATATTTTTAGAAACAGTCGTCCGAAAGCTTTCCTTGTTGTTAAAAAGCCATACTTGCAAATCAATGATAACACTGCCATCAAATTTAAACGTATCAAGGTGCGGCTGAATAGTGAGATCATAATGTGTTGGTATGATGGTTATAGGCAAACGTTGAAACAACGGCTTATCATTATTTTCTGTTACCATTATAATCTACAATAAAAAAAAAGTTGTTCGATTAATATAAGAAATAGAGCCTTTTTTTCATTTTGTATCGAGACAGAAGACTAAGACTAAGACTGTTTTATTCACGAAAAATGAGTCATGAAAGGTCACTGACCTGCAATAAATGACTCAAGCCAAACAACACAAAAAGAGTAATAAAAAAGAACAAAATAAATAAGACAACTAAGGTTAGAACCAGAAGTAGTAAAAAAAAGAACACATTTTTGAAAAAAATAAAAAGAAGCAAAAAAGAACAAATATAAATTCTTAACTGATAAATGTTTCACTAGAAGAGATACTGACGTAAAGCTGTTTTGAAAGACGTTAAAGAAGAAAGACAAATAACTGACTCTAGGAGATTATTCCAGTCAGCAATAGTTGAATAAAAAAAAGAAGAATGTACCGTTTGCGGAGAATAACCACCAACAGAAGATGGAATGCGAACATATTTAGAATGATGAAGACGTAAAGATGAGTAATGAGGACGATGAATAGTATAAAAAAGAGAAACAGAGCTTAGACGATGATAAATTTTGATAAACTGTAGAAGTCTAAAGTATTTACGACGAAGAGTAAGATTTGGAAGAGAAAGTTGAGACACAAGTAGAGAACTAGAAGAACGATAGTCAAAATTGCGAGAAATAACACGAGAAGCAAGTTTGTTTACAGAATCAAGGACAGTAAGAGAAAACGAACTGACATACAAGGCACAGCAATAGTCAACTTTAGGAAGAATAGAAGAAAGATAAATTCGACGCCGAACTTCAGCTGGAGCTAATCCAAAGACACGATTTAATGCTCCAAGTAGAGGTGTCACTTTACTGTTCTTTACCAAATGATAAGTAATAAAATGTATTAGTTATTACCTGAAAACAAGTAATAAATCTTATTACTTCATTACTTATTACTTTTTTCAAGTAATAATCTTTTATTACTTTACTTATTACTAATAAGACGAAAAGTAACAAAAAGTAATAAGTAAAATGATGAAAAATTATTACATAAAGAAGTAATAAGTAATAAAACAACAAGATTTATTACCTTTTACCGGTAATAAGTAATAAACGTTTATTACTTTTACCGGATAATGTAATAATTAGTAAAAGTAAAGTAGCACCCCTAACTCCAAGCTTGCGCCGACAAATAATCTACAATACAAAAAAAGTTGTTCGATCAATATAAGAACTAGAGCCTTTTTTTCGTTTTGTATCGAGTCAGAAGAATATGAATGAGTACATCAAAATACAAGAACAGTGTCTTCTCTTATGATTTGATACCCACTTGTTGAACATGCTTTGCCAACAAGATCTTTTGTTACTAGTGAAAAGATAAAACAGTGGGGAAAATAAGTTTTCGTGCAGAACAGATACAATGGTTGATCAAAGAATAAGACGTATTACGAGGATTTTTCCGAAAAGTGTTTTATTGAAAATTGCGTCTTACTCGAAGAATTTAAAAAGTGAAACGAATAATTAAAATTTCGTCTTTTAACATTCATGCACAGTCTTCAACAAAATAGATCGCTCGTTGAAAGAAATTACCTACCAATAATTCCTGGCCACCACCAAAGTTTGAGAAAGGCAAAATTTGTATTCGCCAAAAAATTTCACTGTTATTGATTGAAAGGACTAGCGTATTGGACTAAAGGCGATAGATAGCGTTTCGCTACAATATTCTATACTGTCTGAATGTATTTCAATTAGAAGAGCGTAAAAAACTGTAGTGAACGTACTTTTATTTTTAGAAAAAATGGTTTTGAGGACGAAAAATTCTATTTCGAAATAGAGTTTCATTGGGAGCGACTTTATCACAACATCGAAGCAATTATTAATGTTTTGGGTGGTGACTATTTTTACTGACCGACCGACCTTACTGACCAAATTTAATTGGTGTAACCATGGGGTAGACCAATCAAATTTGGTCAGTTAAGTCAGTCGGTCAGTAAAAATAGTCACCACCATGTTTTGAAAACTAGTCGGCAGTCATTTTGAATCCTCCTTCACGTTTTTTCTCTTGACAATTACTGTTTAAACAATGACAAAGTTTTCTACTAATGGTAGGAGTTACGACCATCCTAATGATTGATGGATGACTCATATTTCGATGGCAAATGGGCGCCATCTGACTCTATCAAATAAGACTTAATATTTTCTGACCATGATCTCGTGTTTTTCGTGCAGCAAGCTCCATACCTGAGCTTTCTATCCAATGAATTTGAGTCCCACACATTTAAAATTGTTTACACTTTTTCATGCAACTGGATTTTGTCAGTCTCCACAGTACCAGATAATTTCTTTCGACGCAGATCACTTTACCACAACAATCATCCGGTCATGGGAAGCGAAAAGGTACAGCCTACCCATAAGTTTATGGATAACTTGGTAATGGAGGTGTCCATAAAAGACGGGAAATCAAAAATGGTGCGTGACCATAGTAACAACTTTCTGATGTTAGAGCTAGAAGAATAGAATCTCATCGGAATTTAATGAAATAGGGATAATTTTAGTTAGCTCAGCTTGATCGTCGTATGTAACAGAATTCTATTGGTGGATAAAGTCCTTCATTTTTTTGAACTACAATTGTAGTAAAACACTGTAAATCGTGACAGCGACTTATAGTCGGACATTTTTCCGACATATAATGCTAGTCAGAAAAGCGTCTGACTTCATGAAACAGTCAACGGTGTGTTAGTCGTTGAACTGACAGCTGCCAGTCGAAAAAGTGTCTGACGCGTCTACGGGTCACCTTTTGCAACTAAATGTATGCCAGACTTTTTCTCATGTCAGAAAGCTGTAAAAAATATAGAAAATTCATAATTTTACTCTAATTCACGAACGCCCTTAATATTGTTTGCACGTGTGAGATGCGGAAATGCTCTAATCGGGAAAAGGATGTGTGGTAACGGGATTCACAGGTGCATAAGCCGAGCTACTAGTGACATAACTTATTTTCAAAACAATTCAAAGTTAAAATTTAAATGATGAGACTTATTATTCTGAAGCCTGAGCCAATTTCTCAAACGAAAAGTAGTTTTTTTTTATATTTCGAAGATATGAACTACTCGGGACCGGGTGAATCCAGAAAGGGGTATCTAGAATGTTCCTGCCATCTATCAAAAGTTCGAGGAAAGGTGGGACATCTGTCGAAGAAAGGAGTGACATGTATAACAACGGTTATACTTATCGAGGGATTTACTATCGTTACATAGCAAATAACGTTCATCCACGATTCACTCGATGCTTGACTGAAAGATAGAATTAGAACAGCAGGTTCAACCACAGAAACAATCATCATAAAGTAAAGGACAAGACGAAAGAAAATGCACGTAGGCCGAAACGAACGCGCATGTGCTCGGCCGTAATAACAAAGGTATAATGACACCTGCCGGCGGTCTACCATTCAATCAATCGTCAAAAACGCGATCATCAATAGAAAAATCCTGAACTTCAGAACTTTTTGGCATTACACCATAGTTATCAGATGGTCCGCATTTTGGAGTTTTTCCGGATTTTAAGCATTTTCTGTTTTTGCTGTTTTATCCCTGTTCATTTAAGATTTAAATTTTTTTTCTGTGAAGCCAACACCGTTTGTGCAAACAGGCACAAGTTAGCTTCGTTTATATTTTCGATTCCATGCAGTAATTCATACGTCGAAGTGTGTTTTCTGCTATGAAACATTTATTTGACGATAAAAGAAATCGTATATCAAGAGAAATGATTGCAGCTGAGTTAAAACTATGCTTAAACTCATCATTGTCATGCACTGGAGTTTATAATTATTTCTTATCAACGCCAGAAATAGGGATGTTCGGTTCTTCGTTCCAGAACCGAGAACCGCGGTTCTGGAACCGCAATGACGGTTCCGGTTCCCGAGTTAGAACCGAACCGAAAAGAACCGTGGTTCTGGTTCTCCACTTAGAATCGAAACGAAAAGAACCGCGGTTCTCGATTCTCAGCTTAGAACCGGAGAAGAATTTTTCAGGTAGTAACAATTCAACAAAATAAAATTCATTTTATTGTAAACCAAAGGATTCTTTTAAATAATGGCAGGGAAATATATCTTTTGCAGCTGTATCAATAGTGTGTTTTCATTTTGTTAAAAGAAAGGCAAGACAGAAAGATAAGGCAGAAGAAAGAAGAATGAATTATTGCTTTTTTTTGCACTTCATAAAGAAATACAAATTTGATCGTCCGTTCACACTCGTTCTTTTTCGTTCAATGCTGTACTTTTCTATTGTCTGTTTTTACAGTTTCAAGACCAGAAGTTACGGCCAGTATAAAGACATAATAATACTGACTTTATCTCTTGTCTGATAAGAGTCGATGGGTTCGCCAGGTATAGAAGATCTCATGTAAAAGAAGTTGCGCACAAGTATACGTTATGAACGCTAAATATAGGTTTCTCAAAATAAAACTGTAGTAAATTATCTATGGTTAAAAAAGTCTCGATTCCAAAAAAAGGAACCGTCTACAGAACCACGGTTCTGGTTCCCGATGAAGAATCGAAAGCAAGAGAACCGCGGTTCCGGTTCCTTCTGCAGAATCGAACCACGGTTCCGATTCTTAACGAGAACCGAGCATCTCTAGCCAGAAATGCTTAAACTCATTCATTCTAATAAAAAATATACAGTCGAAAAACAACTTGTCAATTAAAATCGAGATTTACATTTTTCTGATTTTCTGCGCATAAAAACGGTTGAAGTTAGACTATGAAAATGCGTTTCTATTTTTTTTCCGCATTCTGACAACAGTTTTCCGCATGCAAAATTATGAATTTCTTAAGTACAATACACTTCATTTCGAAACTTCGAAAAGACTTTTTTGAAAGTTTTCTAAATACGGCTAACTGAAACGTGCGTTAAATTAAGGAATGTTTGGACTTTGGTATACGAGAATAATATATCAATATTTTCCAGTAATAAAACACTTTCCAGTCACGAAAAAACACACTTTCGATGTATAAGCTGTTCCTTTTTGATATTGTTAAAATAAAAAATAATTTTAAATGTAAAATTAACAAAATTTGCGACTCTTTTCTCGTTTTAGATATCAAATCGTCTTTAACTAAAACAATGACTGGTACAACTATTATACTACACAGTAGAAAAAGGGTGTTCTTCAGAAAACATAAAACGTGTTTTTCATTTGTCCCAAATGAGTTTTTTTAAAAACATACAAAGCTAGATTTTTTGGAAAACGGAAGAACACAAATTCAACTTTTCAGTTTGTATTTGGAACATTTATTCTTTAGAGAACTCGACACATTCTCCGTTGTTTATTTCTTTGAAGTACTCATTTTTCAGTTCTTCAAATTTGTATTTTATGACGTTTTAAAATCTTAAAAGAATTTAGATTTGTTCTTCGGAAATTCTGCTGCTTGTTACACGTTGTAGATTGGAAATTGAAATATAAGAAGCAAAATAGTGAATCTCTTCTCACTCTGATGCTGACTATTACAATTAAAACATCTAAAAAAATCAATCTAATTTTGACTTTCTCCTTACAGCTAAAAATACGAGAAAAGAATAACAGACAGGGACGATCTCTAGCTATGACGATTTCTACTGAGAAAACTATTACCTACTACTAACTCACTCTGCTATACTCTCTGAGTATTATCTGTTGGTTTGTGATCTCAATCAGAATTTATGTTTGTCTACAATTCATCAGTCATTATCGAATTATGACTTCAATACATAAGTACACAGTTGGCTGGTTAAAATTTGGGAAAAAATCCACTATATTATCGCTATTTCTTTTTCAAAGAACTTAACACAAGAATGATGTTCGTCATTTTTTCAAAAACTCGATTCTTGAAGAACTCAAACGCGCTAAAGAACAATACTAGTAGAAAACAAAATTTTCGCTGAAAAACAAAAAATATTTTTTTCTGTTTATTGAAAACTGGTGTGAGTTCTTCATCAGTCAGTACTTTAAAGGCATCAAAAACGCGTTTTTTTACCGTGTATATAGGTGAACATACACAGACCTACATTCTAAAAATGTCTGCATGTAAACTTTCATTACCCACTGGAAAAATAATTAAAATTCATGCAGGATTCCGCACGATTTTACACAAGAGTCTGGCGGGTTGTGTGTGTTTCACTATCCGATGACGTTTCTTACCTTTTCGCAGGATTTTTTTTCTACCAGTCCCGATGGAACTCTGTATAGTTCATGTGGGATTAGCGTGGAAAAAAACCTGTGTAACGGCAAGAAATATCGCTGGATACTTTAACACACACAACTCGCAGACTTTCTGCGCAAAGTCCTGCGGGATTTCATTCTGAAAGAAAAGGCTTCTTTCACCGCATTTTAAACATATGTCTACAATGAGATGAGAGATGCCTTTCCCAGTGTTTGAAATCATGCGGCGTTGAACTGAATACTAAAAATGATTAAAATGATTTATTTATATCAAACCGAAACAATTAAAAGAAAAGTTTGTTTTTATATAAATGAAAATGACTGATTTTTTTATTCGGCCTCGTAATTTAACCGAATGTTCTTAGAGAACGTTTCAAAATATATTCTGGTTGCTATTCCTCTGCAGAATATTTCATTATATATAAGCTTTTGCTATATATGTAGCTGTAGAGAATAGTCCGTTCTACCATCCTGGTTAGTATCGAGTTTTTTCCGTGAAACGAATGAGAATCAGTGAAATTATTAAGAAAATTTCGTGGAATAACTCTTTTCCCCTTAAAGTGTCCGATATATCAAGCTTCATTTTCTTTTCTAACTGTTCCCAGGACATCGAAAATGGTGTAATTAATTTCCAATTAAATGCCATTTAATACACTATTAATATGCATTTAAATGGCATTTTTATGACATTTGACCCAGTTTTTAGGCCGTTTTTTGCCATTATAACTGGGAACGTTTAAATGCATTTATTTGGCATTTTTTTAAATGTCAGAAAACGATCAAGTAACACCCATTTAACTGCTGCCAGTAACCCTGCTGGTCACATTTTTCTGCCATTTAAATGGCATTTTTTAGGCTGTTAGAAAATGTGAAAAAAATGGCATTTAATTAAATGCGTTTTAACGCCGTTTTCTTCGCTATAACAAGAAATTAAATGTCAATTTTCTGTTTATAAAAAACAACTATTTGTTACTACTATCAATATTAACAAAGCTCAAAACAGTCAAAAACTTTATATTTTCCAATTGCCACGGTTTAGTTCCTTTCCAAAGGCTGTCTTTTTACCGTGTTAAATGGTATTTTCTTTTATTCCACAGTTTTAAATTATTATTTGCTATTTGGTTAATAGACTCGCTTTTTTAGCTGTTCAGTTAGATAAACAACTTATTTTTCTAGAAATAAGGCGTTATCAACCACTGTGCCAGTGATTTAGATTTGGAGTTTTCCTTGGAACTTTAAGAAAGTGATAAACTCTAGTGAGGTGTGAAACTTGGATCAGTTGTAATAAGTCGCTCATTAATTAAAACTTTTCTTTTTATTAGCAAGAAGAAATAAGTTTATTGCAAAAGATCATGCTGAGATAAATTTCTTTGTCATCTGAAAAATGTTCGGAAAAAATTATCATGCAAACAACTTCTATTACTACAGAAATTGTTTGTCTCTCTACTCCCTTTTCTTCAAATGTTCCAGTAAACCTTGGATAAGCTTCTTTTTCGCCTGTTTCAATTTCATCGGCACGTCACCCAATCCAGCTAGAATATATAACGAAATTACGCAGACTTCATGCTAGAAGGATAATCTTTTAGAAGGATAGTTCCGATAAGGTTAAGGGAGGGAGATTTTTAAAAAATTCAAAATTGGAGCTGGAACTCTTATTGTTACGCAGTTCGACAGAGCACCTTAAGTGACATATACCCACAAGTTATAATGAAAATTGAACCAACGGTGTCCGAGAAAATTAACATTTTTCATTATAGTGCAGTTTGAGTCCTTAAAGTAATTTTTTGAAACTTATGCACGCATTTCAAAAACACGAAGCATTTTGAAGAAAAATTTTCGCTGACAAAGTTGTTCAGGATAATGCCCTTCATACCCTAAGCGGAGCACTTTTTCATTGTAGTGGAAAACTTTTGAAATAAATTACAAATAAAAAATTTTTAGCTTTAAATTTACTTAAAATTTGTGTAAATTGCATTTCTTTCAAAATTTTCCCACTAAAATGAAAACAGTGCTCCGCTTAGGGTATGAAGAGCATTATCCTGAACAACTTTGTCAGCGAAAATTTTTCTTCAAAATGCTTCGTTGTTTTTGAAATGCGCACATAAGTTCGTGTACCAGGTAATGAAAAAGTCGAATTTCCATGCAAGAGCGATTTCACCTAATATAGGTTTTCACTAGGTTTTTGGATTTTTTCGAAAAACGAACATTGCCACGAGACTCAGCGTGATGGATAACCCATGTTTCCATTCATTT